GGGGGGGGGGGGGGTTAAACCCACCTTAGAATCTCTCCAACCCCTCTTATAAAGTGTTCAACCTCACCAGAAGTTCGCTTCAACCCTCCTACTTTAACCCTGTAAAAGCTCGCTCAGTGGTGCAGCTTGTACCCCACCTTGATCTCAGGGGCTGCAGGTTCGATTCAGGCCCCCAGAGGGCCTATAGTTACAATACATTCCTCACAAATACGTCTCCTGGTTAGGTCTTAGAGCTGTCAAATGGAAGTTTGAAAAAAAATCACTATCCGGCCTTCGTACAACCAACCTTTGAATCACGGTAATATGTTTTATCTTAAAATCATCTATTACAAAGAGCTATTAATAACTTAATACAAACTTCATTTTGTTTCTAATGCCTGGCAAGTACAATGTTTCTACTGTACAACTACTTAATATGTAGTCAGTGTCAATTATTTCAAAATACCATGTCATGAAATCCACATATAGTCTGTTATATACCAGCTGTACTACAGTACTTCCCAGATTCATCAAAATAAATAAAAGAACTTGATGTACATTTGCTTGTTAAGGCTCTATGCAGTATGCTCACATTTTGCAGTTGCTATAGTAGGACTTCTACAGCTTTAACGATTACCCCCACCCCTCCCTGTTAAACAAGAACAAGGGTTGCATGAGAGCTGATGAGAGTTGATTGGATGTTACCAGTCAAACGAGCAAAAACCCATCAACTGTCATAAAAAATTGAACCAGCTCAAAGTGGATGAGAGTTTCCAGAGTTGATGGTCAAATGCGAACGGGAGTTGCTCTCTCATCAACTCTGATCCTTGTTTGACCGCGCTGCTTTTAGTCCTGTTAGGCTTGCTTTAGACTATCTTCTTAATATTACCACTGAGAAGGCATTGTCTAATAGAAGCCAATTTTGGTGTCCAAAAATACTTAAACTTAAGCCCAGTTTACACTATGCTCGATATTTTGGTACCGTACCACTTTTTTGGTTCTTGGACTACCTAAATAGGTAGTCCAAGAACCAAAAAAGTGGTACGGGGTACCAATTTTATCTGCGCCGTGCCAAAAATTGACCGTAGTGTAAACGGGGCTTTAAAGAATCTAAAAGTTGAAAATGTATTCATCATAACCTTAAGTTTATCAAAATAACGTACCAGGAAAACAGTAATAAACCCTGCATGCCTCTATCACAAAAAAATTGGTGGTACAGTATATACAATAAAAGATGTTCAGCATACTTTATAATCAAGTCACTTCTCAGGTTCGTCCACGCCAGCTTGTGTCATCAGTTCACCAATGTTTTTCTCTAAGTCATCTATCCTTGCTCCCATTTCATCAACTGAAGTAATAGTTAAGGTGCCACATCATATTACAGTATTACTATCTTTATATTTAAATAGGTTAGGTTAGGTTATAGGTTTAACAAAAATTACATCGCAACCAAGGCGTAAAAAAAATACCTGTGGTTCCGGTTCCCGACCGACCCTATTTTTTTCTGCCGACCCTATTATTTTTTCAATGTGATTGACTGTGCGACCCTATTTTCTCCAGGTGGTTGCGGACTGCTCGTACAGCGTGCCAAAATGGCGTCTGTTGTCACTAATTATTGAACCAAATTGCCTAAATTCGTCTATAGGAAATAGTCGCCTCTTTAGTCAATATTGATGCCGGGACTCTACTGCAAATCGCCCAGCAAAAAACCGCCAAAACCATGAGAAAAATATTTAAAAAAAAATTTATTTCCAACCTACCGACCCTAATTTTTTCACGATATGAAACCGGAACCACAGTGTTTTTTTTTACGCCCAGGGGTTAAATTACGTAATTTACAGTAACTATCAATTACTACTATATTACAAATTTTAAAATTATTATTAATTAATTGCAAAGGTAAAAAGGATCTCATATACAGTATAGCCCTATCAGTCTTAAAATGTTCAGCATTAAAAAAGCGTTTCTGACAAAGGTTAAACGTCACATTGTGTCTGGATGGAAGTAAGCTATACAATTTATGCGAGGAATCAGTCACAATGGCTTTAAAAAGTTTGTCACATAAGGTCCTGCAATAATAGGCAGCAATAATAAACTTAACATTGACAGTACCATATATGTAAAACATACATTACTTACATATTTACAATATATAAATATAATACAACTTACAAGAATTAATGTTACTTAATTAGGCTGTTGAACGATTCAAAAAGTTAACTAGCTACGGTAACGACAATTTTGCATTATTTTATATTTTATGCATTACCAAATAAAATCTAATAATTTTTTCCAACAGTCTACTGTAGACTGTTATTTAAGGCAAAGCGTAAAGGATTAAGATTGAAAACTATATCCATGCAAGCAAATTACTCTGTCTAACAGCAGGCAATTTTACTTGTCAAGGATTTTACTCATCAAGGGGAGGGAATTAATATCTGATTTTAATTTCACTTTTAAATCAGGTTTACATGTGAATAAAAACAATCATATTTTTAGATGGCTTTTAAGTATGATGATACGAGTTGTATTGAAAAAGGATACTTCTATTGATTATCTGATCTGACATGTCTTGAAACTTTTCTTGCTGCAAATAAAAAGAAACTCTCAGCTTTATAATCTTGTAGGTATGTCTACAGTTGCAAGGCTGGCGAGAGGTAACCACAGGCCCCGGGACAAATCCAGTCGATCAATCGATGGCAATCGATGTTAATTACTTAATTGATATCGATTGACATTGGTCAATGCCAATTTTATCGATATTCATCGATATTTATCAATTTTTATCGACAAAATGCTTTTAATTTTATCCTAAATGGTCTCCGCGTGTTCAAGCTAAATAGTAAATCTTTTCCCATTTTTCAAAGGAACACATACATGTATTTGATCTGTATAGTCAGATAACTTAATCCATTTTTACTGAATTCCGTTCACATTTGTTTTGCTACAGCTTAAAGTACTTAATTAAATTATTTAATTAAATATTAATTAAATTATGGCATTATCTGTTTGATTGCATGCATATTAACTGAGGATTTTTTCAGCAATGAAAATCGATAAAACATCAATAATCAATCGATGAAAGGTTACAGCAAAACAAGCCGTCCATTATTCATAGATATCCAATATTAATCGATTAATAAATATCGATTGGTATTGATTGATATCGATACTCATCGATTATCGATTTCATCGATTAAGTACGCCGGGAATTATACTAATAATGACTGTATTTATCAATTCTTAATCAAGAACTTACCATTTGCTGAAGAAGTTTTTCAACCTAGAAATGTGAAAAAGAACTAGTCAAACAACTACTTGATAGCAGTCACAACCATTATTATGACGCTCAATTGTCTGCTAAAAAAATAAAACAAGAGCAATTTAAACTGGACTTACAAAGCCAGTCAGGTCCTGGGCGTCTTTGGGTTCTTCATCTTGGCCCTGAGTTAAACTTTCACCCTGGGCTGTTTCATCCTGAACTTCTATTTTCACTGACATTTTAAATGCTCTAAATTAAAGCAAATTCTTTTTTTAACGAAGCTCAAAACGACGCTAAACTCTTGTTTGCTTTTGACTTTTTACAGTAAGTTTTCAAAATTGAAAATTGTGACTTTTTGAAGGAGCTTCCGGGTCCTGGGTTCTAGTCATAATGTAAATAGGCTAAATACCATCTTTCAGAATGCTAAAATAATTCATTGCGAATGAATTCTCCCGAGAAAATAAATAAAAAGAAAGAAAATGTAGTTTAAAATGGTGTCCTAGTAAACCCAGTTGTTTAATAAAGCCAGTTTTCTTTCTTTTGTAGGAGGTTTTTAGTATGTATATTTAATTTGTCCATTAAATAAGTCCATTTCTTCAGTAAAAAAACATCAATTTTTGAATAAAAAAATGAACAAAAAATATATTGTTTCAGTTAGTAATAGTAAAATAATATTAGCCTTTTCAACATCCAGTAATTTAAAGTCAGAAAAAGAAAGTAATTCAGCACATATCTCGATCTATTATTACAGATCATTACAGTAATAATAAATTTTTAACTTTCTTATAATTAATTCAGTGGTTATCAACTTTTGGTGTATCCAAATTCATATCCAAGGTGATGGCGGCAAAATGTAAACAATATGAACTTGAAATATGTAAACAAAGATATGAAATAACTACTGCAGTAGTTCTAAAGGAATGGATTGATGTTTAAAAGTGTAGAATGTCAAGGCATAGCACTCATCTTTCCTCGTACTTGAAATCAAGACGGGAAAAGACGTCGAACGCTGACACTCGCTCGCCTTCCTCCCCTGCCAGCTCGCCTGCTTCTGCAAGTACGATAAAACATGCAAGGTACAAGTACCAGTTTTTTTAAATACCAGCCAGTTCCGATTGTTTTGGTGATAACTGGATGGTCATCTCACTGATAAAGATGCCGAACAGTGAAGCCACCGTCATGCATTGTACATCTGCACTCTGCAGAAATTTTTAAAATAGAAGTTTTAATATAGACGGAAATGTCGAGTGTGAATTTTATACATAATTTTTAAGACCTAACCTGGAGCAGTTGCGATAAATGCAACTACAGGCCCCTCTGGCAGACTTGCGGCTAAAGACAGGAATCTAGTCCGACCTGCGACCAGGAGACCCTCCTCTATAACGACCTATAACCCTAAACACAACCCTAACCCTTTTGCTATTAACCCTTTTCCTAAACCTAGAGGGTTAATTAAAATTAAAACTTTAAAGAAAAAAAAAATTAACTTTCCAAAAAGTATTAAACCTACTTCAGCAGAACTCGAACCACAACATCACACATTACAGCTGCATGCCGTATCCATTGAGCTACTGGGAAGTGCTTGCCCATTGCAAATAAAAAAAACCCTTTGATATAATGTCATATTTACAAATATTTAGGCCGGACTAGATTCCTGTTATTCGCCGCAAGTCTCTGGTAGGAATCGAACCTGCAATTCTGGTGCAGTGCTCTAACCAACTGAGCTAGAGAGACCAGTTGTCAAGCTCTAACTGCAAATTCATAATTATGAATAGAATAAATAAATTTTTATGTTTTAGTCACGGAAACGCAAATAGAAAGCACAGCAGCCAAAAATCACTAAATGGTAAAAGTAAACTTGGCAAACAAAATAATAGTCAAGCCCCTATTAACTTTATGTAAGTATAATAATTCATTACAAATATTATGACTATAATTATAATTTATTATGATTTATTATAATTTATACTAAATATTTTCTTTTTAGACTACCACCTGAGCTCGTTTCAAAGATTTTTTGTTTTTTAACTCCATCTGAAATTTTAATATGTGCCAGAGTTTGCAAGAGCTGGAATGATGTCAGCAATGAGATGTCAGTGTTTGCTTGTTTTACATTTTTTAATTAATAGATTATATAGTTATAGGTATAGGCCCATAGGGGGGCCCCATGGATACCAACACCCTATAAATGGCAACATTCACTACTTGCCTAACTATCCAATAAAAACATACCTAAACATATTTGTGGATGTGGTGACTGCTGACAGTGGCATAAATTCACTTTTTCTGATGGCGTGGGCAAAGTCGAAATTTCAGAACACTCCCCACTTACAGTAAATTGTATGGTGGGGAGGGGGCACAATTGCCAACCCACCCTATTGGTGACTTGGCCATTTGTCCAATAATTCTTTTTGTATCGCTATACTGGACCTGAACATATTAATAGAGACGTTCAGATCCGTACTAAGCCCGTGAAAGGTAGTGGAAGTCTAATCTGGACTGAACCGCTTTATGAATGGTGTGAGTCAAAAACCCACTCCAATCAACTTTTTCAGTTGACTTCGGCAGTGTAAAAAATCATGGTGAAAATCTTCTTTCCATACTAATCCGTCCCATGTCTTTACTAACAGGTCATTGTGGCTTCATCATTATAACGTAATACCACGTAGCGTGCGAGATTCCATTCTCCCAAATGAAAGAACATCGCCAACATTCAAATGGAAAACTGAGATAATTAACAGGCATGTGCATTATGATATCAAATTTGAGAAAAATATCCAACCACACTTGTTGTGTTCGCACTGCTTGTCCCAAGTTGTCAACAAGTTTGGAACAAGCTGTTAACAACTTGTCACAACCTTATTGGTACTGTCAGACTTGTTGCAAGGTTGTTCCAACAAGTCCGATACAGTCATGACATAACAATATTGTTACATGAAAAAGCTTCGTTGGTAGATATGCAACTACACAGGTAAAAACGCACAAGTTGTAACAAACCTGCAACAGACTTGTAGCAATACTGTTCAACAGGGTGTGTTCGCACTGCTTGTTCCCAGCTTGTTGACAAGTTGTCAACGGCTTGTTCACAACTTGTTACAAGGTTGTTGAGCTCAACAGACTTGTTACAAGTTGTTCCAACAACTTGTTATCATCCTGCAATTCAACAATTTGTCAACAAGTTGTGAGTGACAACCTTGTAGCAACTTGATAAAATAACAGCACTGTCACAACTTTGTTGACAAGCTTGCTAGAAGCCTGTTGCGAACACATCTTGTTGGCAAGTTGTGAGATTTTTACGACTGTGTACCTGAAAATATATAGGGAGAATTTCGACGTTTCGGAGTTAGTAATCCAGACGAAGGGTCTTCGCTCGAAACGTCGAAATTCTCCTTATATATTTTCAGGTAGTTGCATTCCTACCAACGAAAGCTTGTTTATTTGCGTTGATTCATTGATTTGGCACTTCCTACACTGACAAAGGCAGTTCAACAATATTGTTACAACCTTGTCTGGTCAACCTTGTAACATTCTTGTTATACACATGCAAAAGTCTCGCATCTTGCAGCAAGTCTGCCAACAAACCGTCAACAAGTTGTGTTCGCACTGCTTGTCCCAAGTTGTCAACAAGTTTGGAAAAAGCTGTTAACAGCTTGTAACAACCTTGTTGATATTATCAGACTTGTTGCAAGGTTGTTCCTACAAGTCCGATACAGTCATGATATAACAATATTGTTACAACCTTGTGTGATCAACCTTGTAACATTCTTGTTATATCATGACTGTATCAGACTTGTTAGAACAACTTTGCTACAAGTCTGATAATATCAAAAAGGTTGTTACAAGTTGTTAACAGCTTTTTCCAAACTTGTTACAACAACTGGGAACAAGCAGTGCGAAGACAACTTGTTGACAGCTTGTGAACAGATTTGTAACAGCTTGTTTGCAGACTTGTAACAACTTGTGCGTTTTTACGTGTGTAACATGATTGTATCAGACTTGATAGAACAACCTTGTAACAAGCCTGATAATGCCATCAAGCTTGTTACAAGTTGTTAGTAACAGCTTGTTCCAAACTTGTTACAACAACTGGGAACAAGCAGTGCGAACACAACTTGTGGACAGACTATTTGTAACAACTTGTTTGCAGACCTGTAGTTAACAACGTGTGCGTTTTAACGTGTGCACTATATTTTTTATTTTTTGCTAGGACTGTCCTTCATCGAAACAAAAAAGTGAAATCGATGTTAAAGAAAATAAATCCGTATTCTGCTTTGCCCGCAGGAATAGAACAAGGTTTAAAGTAAGGAAAAGTTACTTATGCAGCAGAGCGGGTGGATTTCGTTTTGTGTATATTCTCTAAACGCTGTAATATAGCTTACGCTACAGACATCCGCCGGGCCCGCCTGCATTTTCTTTGTACAGTAAAAAAGTAGGAACTGATCCAACTTTTTCGCGGCGAATTTTTCGCTGACCGATCACATTGCCAAGATTTGTTTTTCGCTTCGCACAAACAAATTCGCCAAGTGGAAAATGGGCGCTCGTCGAAAACTGCTCAGATCGATCCAAAGTGATCCGCCGTCTAGACCAGACCAGACCACGCCCTGACCAGACCAACTGTCTTCTGGCCAGGAGGAGAATGTAATTACAAAATACACCTGCAGTGCAGACAAAATTGACGACATTGATTGTGGATTGTATTTTCGTAACTCCCATTGTTATAGCTTAAATTTATTACACAATTATTCAGGCCCCTACACACGTAAAAATCCCACACAACTTGTCAACAAGATGTGTTCGCAACAGGCTTGTAGCAATCTTGTCAACAAGTTGTAACAACACTGTTATTTTATCAAGTTGCTACAAGGTTGTCACTCACAACTTGTTGAATTGCAGGACAATAACAAGTTGTTGCAACGACTTGTTGTGTTGAAACAACAACCTTGTAGCCAGTTGTCAACAAGCCGTTGACAACTTGTCAACAAGCTGGGATCAAGTAGTGCGAACACATCCTGTTGCCAAGGTGTTAGAACAGCATTGCTACAAGTCTGCTGCAGGTTTGTTACAATTTGTGTGTTTTTAGGTGTGTACACGCGTAAGAATCCCGCATCTTGTAGCAGTCTGTCAACAAGCCGTCAACAGGTTGTGTTCGCACTGCTTGTCCCTAGTTGTCAACAAGTTTGGAACAAGCTGTTAACAACTTGTAACAACCTTGTTGATACTATCAGACTTGTTACAAGGTTGTTCCAACAAGTCCGATACAGTCATGATATAACAATATTGTTACAACCTTGTGTCGTCAACCTTGTAACATTCTTGTTATATCATGACTGTATTAGACTTGTTAGAACAACCTTGGAACATTCTTGTTATATCATGACTGTATTATACCTAAGTCTGATAATGCCATCAAGCTAGCTTGTTACAAGTTGTTAACAGCTTGTTCCAAACTTGTTACAACAACTGGGAATAAGCAGTGCGAACAAAACTTGTCGACAGCTTGTGAACAGATTTGTAACAACTTGTTTGCAGACTTGTAACAACTTGTGCGTTTTTACGCGTGTAGTGTCTACGTGCTGAAAAATTTCAATTTTTATCCTGATCTATTGTTTGAACTGCGCTTAATACTGCAATTATCTTATTATAAATGTTTGCTCCTAGACTTCTCTCGTTAAAATGGCAGCTTGATTTCACGGACAAAGACGGCAATATATACACATTTCTTAATGACGACATGTTTTATTTTGCCACATCAACAACCGCTCGTTGGTATACATTACAATTACCGTCCATCCCAAAGTTAAAATCTCTCTCAGTTTCTACACTCACGGCCGTGTTTTACCACAGGGACTGGAAACCACACTCTGACAGGTAAAAGCATGGGTTGGCATCATGGTAAAAATCAAATGCGCATTGCCAAGACACAGAGTATAAGTACATACAGAGGTCTCACTTCAGGTTAATTTAGCGTAAGGAATTTCTTCAGTCCGCCATGTTCTTAGCAAATGCCCTAAAGAGAGGCCGTCACCCCCTGAATATATATTGAAATGTAATGTTCCAGGGGGGCGAACGCCTGTCTTTAGGGCACTTGCTAACATATGTTTTTTTACACCTGTGCGTAAATTTTTTAACATGTTTGAAAAACGCTTTGTCAAGTTTACATTTTCTTTTAGCCGCATGTAATCCAATTTACTGTTCAATTGTTTGACTATGTATGATATATTAAATTACGCTTGTCTTTACTACATAAACGGCCAACTGTATTGATATTGCGATGGATTGGTGGTGATAATAGTTATGTGATGGTGGTACAGTATATTTCATTGTATGAAAAATAATCCATTTTCTTATTTAGTGCAACAAGAAAATCTCTGCTGATTTCATGTGAATTGAAGGGTACGTTCCATGATTATGTTGCGTGCGTAGAGCGAATGCCATTTTTTTACAGGACCCGCGGACGAGCAACAGCTCAAGAAAAGAGACCTTTAAAGAATGGTTGTGGCAACTGCACACTCTGCCTACAGAAAGTTGACCTGTTTGTTGTAAAGAAAAATTCTTCTATTTTAGACTTGAAACTGTCACAACAAAATTGCACGAGCGAGGATGAAATGATAACACTACACACTGTTCAACCTGGTGTGATGTTGGCTGTTTGGAAACATTCATGGAAGGTACTACTCAGATTAGAATGAGCAGGCAGGGCAATTCCCAGTAACATTTTTCTTCCATGGTGTTGCAAAGTGGCATGCATTGCGGCTGAATGGTTTAAGCAGACACATGGACAGATATGAAAGGCAAAGTGTGACTAACCCGAAGTATGATTTTTGGTATGTGTAATATTTGGGCCATTCGAATAATAAAAAATCCTGTGGCTTGATCAACTTTTTCACTGTGAAAGTTTCCGGATATGATGTCATTAGGTGAATTGTAAATTAGTTTTACTTCGTTTTTTTGTACCAAAATTTCACCTAATGACATCATATCCGGAAACTTTGACAGTGAAAAAGTAGATTAAGATGATTGAGTTTCTTACCATAAAGATACATTACATTTCTTCTTAGAATGACCCAAATATTACACATTCCAAAAATCATATTTGGTGTTAGTCGCTCTTTAATTCAATAGCATCCAACTCTATCTCATCGGCTAAATCGCCTGACATTAGTTAGACATTAGTGAAATAACAAAGTACACACGCAAAAAATCTCACATCTTGTAACACGTTTGTCAACAAGTTGTCTTCGCACTGCTTGTCACAAGTTGTCAACAAGTTTGGAACAAGCTGTTAACAATTTGTAACAACCTTGTTGATATTATCAGGCTTGTTACAAGGTTGTTCCAACAAGTGCGATACAGTCATTATATATACAGGGTGTATAAAAAAAACTGAACAGATTTGAAATTGCTCTCAATTTCGCAAAACACCGATTTGTATCCGGTTTTTTATAGATATAGCTTCTTTGGGTACTTAGAATGTAGAATAATGAAAAAAAAATCTTGAACTCAAATATTGTGAACCAGGGGGGGGGGGGGG